ATCTGGTATAACGAATACAAACCACCTCATCTCCTTGGCCTCCTCCGGTACTACATTGTTAGACGAAGCGACATTGAGTACTCTGAATCGGAACCCAAAAACATGTCGTTTTCAGTCAGTGCCATGGACCTTGCCAAGATCGGCATCACGCTCAAGGCCAACAAGACGATGCAGCTCATTGACATGCATCTCAATCAGAAAGGAGCTGTCTTCACCGAGCTCTGCTCGGCACCGCTATCCTCGACCGCAACCGTGCAAGTTACCTCTTCAACATGGCGGCTCTTGAGCTGTGCACGGTGGAAAGTTTTGAGCTGCGAAAAAGAGGAGTCTGCTGTCTGCTCCCATGTTCAGCTCCTGGCCAATTTTGTATATAGGGAGGAGGAAGTTCAGGAGCTACGGGCGACGGGTGTCCTTCAGAGAGGAGGAGGGCACACCAACGCAGAGGCATTCCGCTTCTTCACGAGCTTCCAGGGTCTGCGCATAGGACCACGCTACTATCGCATCATGCAAGACATCGAGAATTATAGGGAAAATAGGTAGATGAAGACCAAGCTGCACGGGTTTCTCCACAACCACAAGAAAAACCATTGCCGCACTTGTCACCGGCGTTGGTGCGGTGGGCGGGATCATAGGGACACTCCTGTCTATCAAAAAGTCCATTTGATTTGATATATACCCATGACATGGGATGTTGTATCTATGCTTTCATTGTCAATTTCATATTTTATCCATATATGCATAATTCCCCTGTGTATATACTCAAATTAAAGATGGTGCCTGTGTGTTTTTTTATTAAGGATGCATTTTATTAGACTCAAGATAATTATATCAAGTAAAATACAACCACTTCACAGCCTATAATTTTTTTTTTTGGTAAAGGTACAAAGACACACCATAGTGACTGTCAAAATCCGTGAGACTTGACCGTCATCGTCCACGTTGGTAAAAATTCTATTGACTACTAGAGAACAGACTTTAGAACGATGTCTCAATTTAGCATTAGCCTCGGCATTTTTGCCCCGAGACTAGGACCATTAGTCCCGTTAATAATACCAACCGGGACTAAATATTCCTTTATTCCCGGTTGGAGCCACCAACCGGGACTAAAAAATCCTCCAACCTTTAGTCCCAAGTTGGTAATACCAACCTGCAGACTAAAGGTAGACCCTTTAGTCCCGGTTTGTAACACCAACCGGACTAAAGGACCCTTTAGTCCCGGTTGGTAACACCAACCGGGACTAAAGGTCCTCCGATGGGTTAGTTCAAAGGAAAGCATCCCATCCATTGTAAGATGTGTTGTGTAGGTGGGGTGGTAAGCTCCGCGCGAGGCAGTGCATAAGGTCTTAGTTTCGAATCTCAGGGGGCGCAGCGGTGGGAGGCATTATTTTTTTTAAAGCCGGGAGGATCTTTTAGTCCCGGTTGTGGCAAACCGGGACTAAAGAACAACACTTTAGTCTCGGATCGCTAGTCCCGGTTGGAAAACCGGGACTAAAACCAGTTCCCAACCGGGATAAGATATCAAATCTGTAGTAGATATCAAACCAGTTCCCAACAGATCTGTGAGCCGGTGATGACATCAGGGATTGGTTACTCGATGTCACTAGGCTAAGGGCAGTCCCAATAATAGAAACTATGTGGTAATTTCCATACTTGTCAAATCATGTAAATAGTACAGATAGAATATATATTCTCGATGCATAGTTTTTCCCAAAGAAATTTTATCTAATCATATGTTTTCATTCTCCATCATTTACCCTATCATATCTCTTCATATTTTAGTTCCGTATAGACATAATTTCTTATCTAAGAAACAATTTCCTTCTTGTTCTTCTTTAATCCCAATACCAATTCATCATTTTGCTTAGTTGATGCCCTAATTAACGAACATAGAAATTAGTAGGTGCCCTAATAAACTTATGGGTTAAGAGTGCCCTAATAAATTTATCACTACACAGTACAGACTGCACTGCAGCGTGTTGTCTGCCAGCCATTTACAATCTTTTTTATTTCAATCCTTCTATACCAACCGTAATTAAACAACAACTTGGTGTACATCCACTTTTAACGGCTTATAGGATATATAGGGTCTGTTTTATAGTATGGTTGATGGTTGCTATCGATCTTGTCTTGATTCGTGAGTGAAAGATTGATGCTGTCCAACCATCATATGTGGTTAGTTTCATAAAGCTAGTGAGGCATCGCCTCTGATTCAGTTTTTGGACTTTACGGCCATGTGCTCAATGCTAAATATACATACTATAAGTATCCCCTAGTATTCTTGTTGATTACAGCTTTCAGTTCAACAACTTGGGCTACCCGTAATGCACTCATGCACATGGACATCATTTGCTTTTGGAAGGACCCCTATAAATGGCCAAATGGATGGTCCAGCCTAGCATGTCCTAATGCCTGGCCAAACATAGATGGCCCGATTATGGTGCGCCTAGGACAACACAATAGATGGATCAGGACGAGCCATTTCAGCCCACAGGCTAGACTTGATCATAGGTTCTCTTAGCGAAACACATGCATAAGCATGTTCTCGAAAAAAGACTTGATCATAGGCCAGTCGGATCGGGTTTATAAAGAGCCATGAAAACCTATTGCTTTTCTCCTTGCCTAGCTATATCTGTCCCAAACTGTGCACTGGGCTGCAAATTCTACAGTATCACACCAGAGTGCCTTTTCGACGCAGCCTTCCCTTGCTGTGTTCACACAAGGCAGCAGTAGATTATGTAAAGCTCAAGGGCCGCCATGTTGAGCAGCACGCTGGCGCGCGTGTCGTCCAGGGACAGTGGCGACAGGGAGAGCTCGGCGAAGAGGTTCCCTTTCTTGTTGACGCCCATGTAGACAAGCTCGGTCGTCTTGCTGGCCGTCAGCGTGATGCTGATCTCGGCGAGCTCGATGGCGCTCACGGAGAAGGACATCGACTCGGTCTCCGGTAGTGTAGGCAGCTTGACGTCGCTTCTTCTGACGATGTAGTACCGGAGGAGGCCGAGGAGGTGCTGCGGCTAAAAGGCGTCGTCCATGACGAACGGCTTCTCGTGCCGGTCCTTGCGGTCCTGCAGACAGCCTCGCAGGGAAGCGACGAACTCCTTCAATGGCACGGGCCTGAACGCCATGACGGCCCTGACCACCAGCCATGGGAGCTGGTTCTCGAGCTGCATGATGTCGTGATAGACGTCGTTGTCGTTGGCCTCGAAGAAGCTGCGCAGCGCCGGGTCCATGTGGGCAAGGCCGGCGTCGGTGCACGTGAGCATGTACTGCACCAGGAAGCAAGCGTCGTAGAACATCATGGGCAGGAACACGTCGTCGCCGATGCTGTCCACCACGTTCCTGTCATAGATGCTCCGAGCGTAGCCCGCGACGGCGACGACCGCCCCATAGACCTCCTCGGCTGAGCGGCCTGACTCCATGATGCAGTGGTATGCAGCCACGTGCTTCACCGTCTCCGCCGCCTTCAGGTGGTCTCAGCCGTGGTGGTATGGGCCGATCGACAACGTCATCGGAACGGTGTACAGTTCACCGAGAGATCGAATTCTTGCTGGGTACCTGTGCATCTTCATCTTCATCATGTCCACGTCGAACTTGAACTCACGCGCGGCTTTATCGAACACATGGATCGGATTGCTGTAGATGTTCGTTTCCATGTTGTGGAAATCGGACTGAACCTCTTGTGCTGCTTTCTCGATCTCGATCCGATCATTTTGTGTGGCTGATGCACACTCAACCAGCTGTCCTCTGCTAGAGCTAGTAGGAACATATGTTTGGAGGCAACTACCGTATATCTCAGTACCGGCCGACTCCACTACCACTGGGAGGCTAGCAGCACATGCACATACTTCTGGTTCCATTGCCATGCTCCAATGTGCTAGCTGAAACTCAGCTGGCTGCATGCTCCAATAGGTCAGCTGAATGTCGCAAGGCACCCATCCTGCAGCTGGTTCCATGGAACAATCTGCCACCCCCAGCAGCGTGTATTTGCTGCAGAAAGTTCTGCGCTGGGAAAGAATAAACAAAGAGTGAAAAAAGAGCTAGAAACACATCAGGACAAATATGATAGCGGAAACACAAACTAATGGTGAGAAAGGAAAAGCTTACAGCCAGGCAGAAAGAAGCACAGTCACGCAGCCATGTGGAACCTCCTCTTATATAGCATAGACAGACCGACCGGCCATGTGAATGACGTCTATCCTATTCACTCGAAGTGGTCAATTGGACTATGTTTAACATAATGGTTGGCGAAGATTCTTTATCTTACTATGGTCCATTCTAAGCAATGGTCATGTATTCTAGCCCCACATGCAAACAAAACAAGATGAAACACATGTGCCTCAGCTGGCAAAATTTGGTGAAACAAGATCCACTGCTATTTGGTGTTGTGTTTGTCTATATATGTGTGCATAACCATTATTCGGGCTAAATGCTCACTTAAGTGGATAAATTAAATGGCGGTTTAAATAGAATAAATGACCGATTGAAAGGAAACGCCATACCACCGTGCAACGTTTAAACGGTGTGCCAACAGGCTAAACGACCATTTAACGGCGTGAGGCTATGAAAAATCTGTATGGTTTGATCTTTAAAATGGATTTTGAGAAAGCGCATAATAAAGTCAAATGAGGCTTTCTTTATAACATACCTCATAGATGGAAGAACTTTTAGCCTATATGTAAATGGTACAATAATAATATAACTATTTACTATTTACTACTTAGCAATTCACTTGAAGGATCCAATGAGGACTCTCTGCTGCTGCTGCTGATCGATTTTGTTATGGGCGAAATTTGCATCTGAGCAGGGGCCTAATCGGGTTGGGCTCGGACGAGACAAATTAAAGGGCGGCCTGCTCAATGAATTCGGATCATCGGGATCGTCGGCTATGATTCCTTTCAAAGCAGTCGAGTCGTCCCAAGATCTAATAAAACGAACAGAAGCGATCGCGACGACCGAATCCCTGAATCCCTCCTCCAATCCAACCCCAAGGAACGAAGAAAGCCATGAAGTGCGCGGGCGGGCGGATGGGTGGTGGCGATGCGGATGCAGTCTGCCGCGTCGAGCGCGCCTGCCGTGTGGTGCGTCGATCAATCCCCAAGCGCCCGCCCCCCTCGTTTCTCTTCCTTCTCATGATGCCGGGCAGTCGACCATTGTTCCGGCTAATGAACTCGCGCTACTGCCACTAAATCGAAGCTTCATAGGGCAAAAACAACAACAACAACAACAATAATGTACTGCCAACTCGGATTTAGTGCGATCGAAATCAACCTCGTTTTTTTAATGCACAGAATGTTCAAAGTTGTGAACCTTCTTGTAGGGTTTCATGTACAGGTGATGGTTACAACTGTGAATTCAACAAATTAGTTAAGGGTTCAAGTAAATGTGTACTGATTTTTTTGTGTGTGTGTGGACTGCATTACTTGCTCAGATTTAATTGAACCATATTAATTAATCTATTTGTTGCAACCAGTTCAATCGCCTCCACATCCAGCCGCAAGGGACGACTCAACAGGTGCGAGTTGCGCTATTGTTTAAAGTTTAATTAGTCCAAACAATTAGTTATTGTAGATTAGCTATAAAATTAGTCTCCTCAAAAAAAAAGCTATAAAATAATTTATACACCAGTCAAATATTTTTATCCTGCAAATACTGCTTTCTAACCTTATTCTTTTGTTTTCTTTGAATTAGTTCAATTCCTCTTTCATGGAGCCACAAGGTATTCCTCAACAGGTTTTTTGTTGTTGTTGTTGTAATAGTCTAGTGTCAGCAAATGTTAGTAACTACCACAAACTTTATTTCATAATAAACATTCTAATATTTCTAACCTGCAAATATAGTTTACGCTGCAGTCTTTAATTTTTAAGGACTCTTATCTTTAATTTGCCTTTACAGGATCTTTTTCCGTATGCATGCAGACTTAAAAGTTTAGTTTGTTGCTTGCTAACCATATTCATTTGTGTGCATCAGTTCAATTTCAGTTCCTTGTCTTCCAGCCACACACTACGACTCAACTGATGACACAAGAGGTATGACTTCTTTTTGTTGATTATTATTTGCTCTGTGCCTGCAATCTTCACGTATTGATATAAATATTGTGCGAACATTAATTTTTACCTCAGGCTACTCTGTTCGCTCGGCGTGTTTACGTTGGTGGCCTTCCTCCTCTGCTAACGAACAGGTCCGTACTTTCTTTTTAACCTCAGGGGAAAAACAACTATGCATATACTGCCTAAGTAAACAAACTCAAACACTGTTCCGAATAATCTGCAACTGTTGGCTAAATTGGATTCCTTTCTGCAGACAATTGGAGTATTCTTTAATCAAGTCATGGCTGTTATTGGAGGAAACACTGCTGGTCCCGGTGATGCTGTCTGTAGCGTCTGCATGAACCATGAACAAAGATTTGCTTTAGTGGAATTCAGACTGGCTGAGGAAGCAAGCAATGCAATGGCTCTGGATGGCATTTTGTTTGAAGGGGTGCCAGTGAAGGTTAGAAGGCCAACAGACTACAACCTTTCCCTGGCAGCAGGCTTGGGCCTGAGCCAGCCAAGCCGAAAACTGAATCTTGCTGCAGTTGGACTAACAGCAGGATCAGACGGAGGAGGGTTAGAAGATCCTGACCGTATTTTTGTGGGTGGCCTTCCCTATTTCTACTCTGAAGCTCAAGTCCGGGAGTTGCTTGAATCCTTTGGGCCTCTTCGAGGGTTTGATCTTGTGAAAGATAGGGAAACTGGCAACTCAAAGGGCTATGCATTCTGTGTTTACTTGAACACCACTGTCACTGACATTGCTTGCGCTGCACTAAATGGTACTAAGATGGAAGACAAAACCCTTACTGTCAGACGAGCAAACGAGAGTGCATCTCAGCCCAGACCAGAACAGCTAAGTATCCTATTGAAGGCCCAGCGACAGGTGCAAATGCAGGTATATATAGACCAGCTAGTTGATTGCCATACTAGACACCTTTATAGTTTACTCTCTAGCGTGCCATTTACATTTTCGATGTGCCGTTGTTGTGTTCTGACACAGAAATATGTGCGTGCTTTGTGTACAGAAACTTGCCAATCCAGTTGGAGCGGCCCCTACAAAGGTGGTTTGCCTCGTCCAGGTGGTCAGTGCAGATGAATTGAAAGATGATGAAGCGTATGAGGACATCAAGGACGACATGAGGCAAGAAGCATGCAGATATGGTATATCATTTATACCCTTTTTCGGCTCTTCATTTCGGTTTCCGTCCTACATCGAACTTCTGCTTGTATTTTATTTATCTGCTATTTACATAAATTTCCTAGGAATTCTTGCATGCAACTTTGTTATGTTTATGCACTAATCACAAGAAAAATTACCTTTTGATCAGGTAATCTGGTGAAAGTTGTGATCCCACGTCCTGACCCCAGCGGACACCCGGTCACTGGAGTCGGAAAGGTGAGCCTCGTGTTGCACTGACTTCTAATGTTTGAATTTTGCAGATCTCTTTGTGTGATGGCAAATGATTTCTGATGCAAGTTTTTTCTGTTGCAGGTGTTCTTGGAATATGCAGACGTCTACAGTGCCACCAGAGCAAAGATGGCTTTGCATGGAAGGTAATTTGATGGGAAGCCAGTGGTGGCCAGCTACTATCCTGAGCTTAAGTTTGCCAATTTGGATTTCGATGGATAACTGTAAGTAGCTTCTCGAAGGGAAAACACAATGACAATTATTCTTAAAATCCTTATGTGTATAAACGTACTGTTTTCGTGGTCAATGTTTGTACTCTTACACCGGAAAGTATCATTTTAACCCTGGGTTTATACAGATCCAGAAGAGGTGGTAAATTTTGATGATGAGCACGGGTGCTTTGTGTTGAGGACCAAAAGTGGCTAGAGGGCTTTGTAGTAATGTTCTAGGCAGTAAAACAATATAAAATAATATTTAGGATCGTCGCATTCGAAATCCGGAGGAAAAATAAGGAAAAAGACGGCGCCAAACTGGTCTGACCGATTTCTCAATCGGCCGTGCCGGTTCTCATGTGCTGCACCGCAACGGCCCTAATAGCCTGGCCTAGCCAGTTTGGGACCTGACCAGACCGGTTTTTCCCTGTTCGAGTCCGAACCGATTACTTTCTAAAATGATTTTTGGATGTGTTTTGGCGTAGAAAACATAGAGATTATGATCTCCTCGTACTAAAATAAGACCACCCATCTGTCTATCTATATCTATATATATAGTATATATATAGTATCTATAGAGCTCAAATTTCTCCCTTTTTTTTGTCTGGCCTCGCCTAACTACTCTCGTCACTCTTTTTCCGTTATCACTTGCTTAAGTTAAAGATGCAAAAACCTTATATTGGTATTGCACCACTCATGTCATCTCCTCACATTACGCCGCATACCTTCTACTTTTTTTTTTTAAATCAAACCCACAACAGTACACATCACACACATATATTTAAGTTTGGTCAATCTCATGCCAATTTCCTTTATTGCACAAACTTCACTATGGGCCTTGAAATTTATTAATTTATAATCAAGCCTAACTAAATATGGCTCCTCACATCCAGTCCCATTTTAGTTTTTTTTAGCTTTTTTTCTGTTTGGATTTTTTCCGAACAGCGCTTCGTCGGCCAACGCTGTAGCCTCGTCGTGCGGCCTGTGCCTGTAGAGGGACTCGATGTAGAGCGAAGTGAACGTGCCGGCTTACAGTTGTCCATGCAACCCGAGCCCGTCGGTGTAGCACCCAGTTTTAAGAACAAACCAATACACATCATATGTGAGTCTAGAAAGTCAAATCTCATATAGCTACAAATAAGGGTAATATCAAAAGACAATGCTTAAATACATAGCGTATTAGTATAAAGATTATAACATCGAGTATAGACAATGGAAAGACAACTCCGATCTTCAAAGCGAAGACTCCAAATCCACAGGGACAACTGACTGGTTGATCACAAACCTAATTCCTCCAAACTCGAGCAATCTAGTACCCATCCGGGATTTTTTAAAAGATTTAAAAAGTAAAGCAAGCGTAAATACATATCGTACTCAACAAATATAACATGGGGTTCATGAGGCTCAAATGGTCGACATTGGTTTAATCTGCGATTAGCTTTTAATTGTCATAATTTTAGCATAGAAGTAGCAACAAGTTTATCACAAGCCCATATAAACACATGATCAGTAAACATGAATAATGAATAGCATAAACAATAATCATTAGTGAGCATCTCTATCATCAAGATCATCTGTGTTCATCATAATTAACCATTAGTGATCATCTATTCCGTAAAATGTTCCAAGGTCGCTTTCGTGACCGTGAGCACGGCCGATATACCAGTTTACACTCTGTAGAGGTTGTACATTTTCACTATGAGTCGTGATTTACCCTTTCGCCCGAGGTAGCTAATCTCTTGACCCACTTCCAAAGAAGGTCGGCAGGTTCACTATAAAGCCTTTCAAAGGTTCGCCTAACAAGTTAGGGCCATTAGATTCATTCGCAAATAGATATAGAAACCCTCGGTTAATGGCATAATTCCATCATACACATAAGAGTAGAGACTGTCCCTATACCCGATTCGCAAGCCATTCTTACGCCAATAGAGATAACCTCTAACAAGCTAAAAATGTCCTCTTACTAAGCTAAAGCAAGAGCAATATAGCCCTCACAGTTGTAACACCCTAAAATTTGCCTCTTTCGAAATAGAGCTAAAATTATTAAATTTGGAATTTTGTGTTCATTAAAATATAGGAAATAAAAATTTTCATGAAATTAAAATTTAATATAAGGTTTAGAAACATGGATTTGCATACATGTCGATGCATTTGATTTATTTGGTTGAGTGGTTTTGATTTAAAATTTAAAATGGTTTGAATTGCTTTTGAAAAGGAATTAAAATGGCTATGAACGAAAGAAAAGAATGGGAAATAAAATTTGAAAATAAAACAATTTAAAAGTTATAAACTTTATTTTTGAAAGCCTACTAAAATTTTCCATTTTTATTTGAGTTGAAAAGTAAATTGAAACTCTATTTGAATTTGATTTAACTTAGATTTGAGATTGGTTTTGGAAAACAAAATAGAAAAAATTGAAAATTGGGAAAACTCTCCTCCCTCACTCTCGCCCGAAGGCCATCCTTTTCTATTTCTTTCTCCCCCCGCGTTTCCGTGGCCCGTTTTCTTCCATTTTTCCGTGGCCCACATCTCCTCCTCCATTTTTCCGTGGCCCGTTTTCTTCCGCGGGCCCAGCTCTGCTTTCTGCCTTCCGCTGGCCTAGCTGGCCGTCGGTCCATCTCTTCCTCCCGGCGCCCAGCACACACCCGCCTCTCTCCGCTCAGGGCCGGCCCAGCTGAAGCCAGCAGCTGCACCCGCCTCCCTCTCGTGTTGCGGTCATGTGCCTCCTCCATGGGTGACGCGCTTAGGCCCGCTTCGTCGGCTCTACCTTCTACATCCGCTCGTCGTCAAACGGACTCGCCACAGGGCCGTGTCCGCCCTTCCCCCACGACTCCATCCGCTGCCGTGCTCGTCAAGCTAGACGGTCCTTAAATAGAGAGCATCCGCTCTGTTTAGTTCCCACCCGAGCCCAAAGCCACCGCGCCACGCCTTCCTGTCGCCCGCCTCTGCCGTCCAAGCTCCGTCGTGAAGAAGCCGAGTCGCCGAGCCGAATAGTCATCCTCCGTCACGGTAGCACGCCCTAGAGCTTCTAGCCGAGCTCTATAACCCATACCACCCCATTCCCCTCTCTCTTGTGTCTTTGTCTTGGTCTTCTCTCAAGGCCAGATGCTCCGCCGCCATAGCTTGCTTGCCTGTAGGCCTATGCTCCTTTTTAATTGCAATTGGTCGCCCAGATGGGTCCGCCCACTCCTCCCTCTTGCTCCCAAAGCCTTCCCCATGTCTCATGGGGCTCGGACTTGCCCAAACCGAGCTCGCCACAAGCTTCTCGTCGTCGTCAATGGCGCGTCACTTGCTGACTTCCTCTGCTTTCGGCCGCCTTCCTCCACCCGCGCAATCTTGGCTGTCCAAATCTAGATCAAGGGCTAGGAAAAGAACTTACCCCTTCGCATGGAAGTTTAGCTAAAGAGCCCTCGCTTTTCAAAAATAGAACCCGCCATCCTTTATGTATTCCCAAGTTTCTGTTTTCCTCTTTTAAAAGCGTATTTCGTTTAATTGACTTCAAAAATACGTTTTCACTATTTGCGCTTTTGCCACCGATTTTGTTTTAGCCATAACTTGTCCGCTTTTAACTCCGATTTGATCCGCTCAAATTAATGCTAGGTTCGTAATTTCATAACCTACATGTTCATACTACTGTTAGATGTGTTTTCAACTTTTAAAATTCGTGATTAGATTTAATCTATTATTTTAATAAAGGAAATCTTATTTATTTCATGTCTTCTATGTTTTAACTCCGTTTTAACCCATTCAAGTTGTGTTAGATTCATTGCAACAAGATATACGCGTTAGTAACAATAAAGGTTACCATATCACTATTTCTGAATTTCATGGTTTAAATCATATCTTGATTTATAATTATGCAACCGGATTTTATAAATAAAATATGATTTGTTTTACTTTAGTTTTATAATTCAAATCTAAATTTGACTTATTCAATTTATATAAGCTTTTATATAGTTAAAATAAATGAAGCCTATAGTTTTCTTTTCCACATATAAAGCAAATCTATCGATAGATGTATCTTTTCAACCAAGTCTCGATTAGCGTGCTTTTCGGCGTCTGTGTGTTCAGAAGCGGTCGTAGATTCGTTTTATAAACTTTTCATCTTGATTTTATGTTTGGTGTACTGTTCTAATTTAGATCTATTGTTTGCTTCGTGTATGATTGTATGGATGCTTGTGTGGTGCTTTATGATTTCGTCCATTGGTGTGAGATATACGTGGTGATTAAGAAGAAGAAGAAAAGCGTTGAAGATTAAAGCTTACCGAAGGATTGGTGTTTAAGGCAAGTATAGCATGGGATCATCCTTGTTGTCCTATTCACCTTTAATTACTTAATTTATACTGCATGTGTCTACCTTGACTGCCACTAAGGATATCCTAGTCTTTTGTACTTGTACCTTGATACCTTTGGGGTATTGCATTGGGTAGCTTTGCTAGCACTCAATTAAAGACCATGATCTTGTAACTCGACTAATGGTATATGCAATAAACATTAAAAGATGCTTTTTAGCAACATGGAACAAGGGGGCTAGAGCATTGGGCTATTTTATGGTGCTCTAGATTCCTCTCCCTAAGGACTTATCTGTAAGTGATCATCCGGGACTTACAGTACAGCTGTGAGGGCTACATGGCTCTGGCTTTAGCTCAGTATGAGGACCTTTTCTAGCTTGTTAGAGGTTACCTTTATTGGCGTAAGAATGGCTTGCCGAATCAGATATAGGACAGCCTCTACTCTTATGTGTATAGTCGTGATGGAATTGTGCCATTCGACAGGGGGTTCCTATATCTGTTTGCCGAGTGAATCTAATGGCCCTAACTTGTTAGACGAACCTTTGAAAGGCTTCATAGTGAATCCTGCCGACCTTCCTTGGTAGTGGGTAAAGAGGTTGATCACCTCGGGCGAAAGGGTAAATCACGACTCACGGTGAAAGTGTACAACCTCTCAGAGAGTGTAAACTGGTATATCACCCGTGCTCACGGTCACGAAAGCGCCTTTGAACCCTTACGGAATAGAGATGGTCACTAATGGTTAATGACGATGAACACCGATGATAATTTGATGATGAAGATGCTCATTAATGATTACTTTTTATGCTATTCATTATTCATGTTTACACGATCACGTGTTTATGGGCTTGTGATGAACTTGTTGCCACCCAATTGCTAAAATCATGACTCATTAAAAGATAATCGCAGCTTAACCAATGTCACCTTTTGAGCCTCATGAACCCCATGTTATATTTGTTGAGTACGACATGTACTTACGCTTGCTATATTTTCAATTATTTGGATACAAATCCTTGATGGGTACCAGATTGCTAGAGT